GGAACTAAAGAATAAAGTAGCAAATGTTGTACTTACAGTGCCGACCGGACACAACATAAGAGAAAGCGAACCAAGAACGCACCAAGGGTTCGCTCACTGGGTCCGCATCGGGTTCGCCCTAAGCGACTCCGTGGTCTAGTGGTTTGTTTTTCGTTTCATATGTGAGGGGACGGGTTCGCATCCCGGAAGATCCATTTTATTCTTTTTCGAAATTCTTTTTTTAACTAAATGATAGTGTTCAGCATGTGGAATGAAAAATTTTATGAGGTCTGGCTTGTACAAACTCATAAAATCATCATTACAGTGTGATAAATATTCCATATAAAAAGAATCTTCTATACACAAAATACAGAATAAGCAATCAAACCTTTATATCCATATTGACATATTTTGTTTGCTTCAGTACATGTATACATTTAATAATTCTACAAATTCAGTCACGGGGATCCGAACCACCCCCCCCCCTTCCCCCAAACTACGCATGGTTTACTTTTTCCCTAAGCGGAGGACTCAGATTCTCTGAATTAGCTTGTTTTTAGTTTTCCTGGTTGTATTTTATATTTATGTATTCATTTTCTTTTTTATTAAAGCAATGAATAAATTATATATTTTAGTTTTCTACGTAGAATGATATATGAATATTTACGTATTTACTTCTTTAGTCTTTTAATACCAATTGGTAAATAAACTGGGTAAATTATGCATCAGTCAATGCGTAAAAAAAGATATCATTAATTGGTATTACAATTTTTAATGACAAAAAGAGAAGAAAAGAAAAATAACTGATCTTTGACAATTATTGTAAAATTTCATCATCTTAAGATACTAACACTACAAAAATATTTACCTGCCCGTTATTCAAAATTTATTTTATTTCCATTCTCTCAATTTACGTGTTCCTTTAAATTATTCAAAATTTACATCAAAATTATTGATGTTCTTAATTGGCATAAAAAATTACACGCAAATGAACTTCTTCCTGTATATTAAGGATGTACAACACACCTACCCCGAAAAATTCCTGTCGTTTAATTTTCGTTATTTTTGTATATTTAGTAAACGACTATATCTACTGTATGTATGCACATTTTGGACAAAATCGTTCGAGTGGTTTTTGGACAGGAACTTCCAAAAGTTACCCCCCTTTAGTTGTTTACGAGGAGAGAAAATTTTTAATCAATGAACTACTTAAACCTTGATTTTCAAAAAAGCCAGGTTAGATATCAATGTCAAATTTCATTGGCTTATTCCTTTAACCATTTAACACAAAAACATAGTCATCTTTTTGATATACATATCATCAAAATAATTTTTAAAGACCTTAAACTGAAAAACTATGAATTATCTAAGCCTTGAAAATTGCGTATTTTTCAAATTCAAAATTTTTTTGTGAAAAAACCTGTCGTTTAATTTTGGTAAAAAACTTTCTTTAGGTAGCTGGTAGTAAAAATAATCTTCATAATTTTTTGTATAATTTTTGTACGACCAGTTTTGATTTAATAGCGGAAAATTACCCCCTCCCCCTTTCTCAATAAATCACGTTCCCGCGCGTCTTTCAGACGGGTGTCGATCACTTTGTTATATGAATCTACAAAAACACATTAAAAAAAATAAATTGGAATATTGCTTTTGCTTCAAAATATATTAACTTACAAATTTAAAAGTTCTCATATGTAAAGCATATTTAAATGTAGATCTTTAGGCAATTTTTGAATACCCCTATCACCCCCACCCCTTCCTTTTTTGCGTCGCAGACCATTAGCGTTTGACGAAACGTCGTTTACAGTGCACATATACTGGTATTTCGTTATTTGAATCCCGGAGGTATGCCAGGGATTTTCCACCCCATTTTGGGAATGGGGCCCAGGCCCTTTACTATTGGGAATTTTACGACATTTTACAACTTTTTGGGAAATTTTATAGCAAGATGTATTTCAATAAATTAACACTTATGATAGTTAACATTGATTTTTTACTTCATTATTCAGAACTTTATTTCAGAAAATAGATCTATTATTATACAGTTTAGCCAAGTCTCCAAAAATTATGATCATTTCATTAAGAGTTCAAACCTTACCATGTTTGTTTTACATAAATTTTTCAAAACTTAAACACAAGCTGTTCATTTTTGGGAAAAATGGAGTAATTTTTCAATTGGGAATGGGGCCCATATTCGGCCCTACATGGGGTAGTGGAAAATCCCTGTATGCATTAGTTCTTAAATTCATGAATGCAGAATAAATATTGACTACTCTTTTTATATGTATCAGGAAAAAAATACTAAAGGATTTTAGTGTTTAGTCCATATATGTATGCGTTATGCATTCCATATATCACATGAAACCTGGATACGAATTCAAGTTTTGTTGAACTTCAATATCATAAATGTCGATTTTTTAATTTTATATCTTTAATTTTATTCATTAAAAAAATGGTGTATGTTCAAATCTCCTGTGATATAAATGGAATAATTGTAGTTTCATTCATGTCATTATTTCAAACGAGACAGTATGTGGCAGTGGGGATACATCGACATTTGCATAGATGTACACCCCTCATGATATTGTACGCATTTCTTTCAATGTCGTCGCTTCTAAAGTTAGTATGAAAATTCCGTATTCGTCCACATTAACTTCAAAATATCAAACATTAAACTCTTCATCTATTTCAATTTATATCAAATCGCACTTTGATATTTTTTTTTTTGAAAATCTTTAAAAAGGCTACGTTTTGTTTTGATTCGAGGAAATGCGAACCGACATTGTTGACAGAAAGTCAAACGATTTGCTGCAATAGGATATTCATCAATGCAGATAATTTCAGTACAAGTGAACAATTCTTTTCAATTCTATACTTACATTGTGTATATGAGGTCTATAGTATTTAATTCTCGGATTTATCAGGTCTTGCTGAAAATGTATCTGATTCTGTGGAAAACCGTGAATAAAGGGAGGAAAATAAACATCTACATTTTCAGAGTTGTTCCTCTTTGATTAGTAAGGGTCTACATCGATTTTACATTGTAAAAAAGTTTTTTTTGTTTATTTATTGTTATTTTATTTAAGTAAAGAAAAAAAAAACAATATTTATATCGTAAATGCACAAATTGTAATGAAGACCATTAATCGGAATGTTATATAGCCAATTGTACATAATGAGAATTTCGGCAATGTAAAATAAAATTATCAGAATAAAAAAAAAAATGCTGCGCTTTGATCAAAAATACAATTTATTGTATATGAAATGAAATGAAATAAACATTAAGGGATGGTATTTTATGTCTTGCTTTTTACGGAGTTTAATCGGGTTAATTAAAAAATACTTATTGATTGAGTATGGTACGCGCAATCAAAGCCAAGCCCCATATCCCAATTTTCTTTCATGATTGATATACATCGGGATCGTTTTACTCGTCGTTTTGACGCTTTATTTTTGACGTTAAATTTGACGTCACGTCAAACGTTCAATTGAAATCGCAAGAGTTATCTCCCCCAGTGTGTTGTACGTCTTTAAATAAATAGCCGCAGCAGGCTTATAGAAAACAATTCTAGTACAGGTTTGGAAGGAAGACTCATAGAAGTTAGAGAAAAAGTCATTAGGCTTTATTATTAAAATCTAGTCTAATGATGGGAGTTTACAGTTATGATCTCTCTCTCACTCTCTCACTCTCTCTCTCTCTGGTCGTGATATTTCCTGTGTTTATTTATATTTAAGAATTAAGAAATGTTTTTAAAGATAATTTTTATTTTCATTAATGTGTGTGTGAAGTAGGGAAAATATATAAATATATTCTTATTGGGCCGGGAGAAAAATTATCATTTGTCATTTTATTTTTTTATATTCTGATTAAAATCATACTCGCTCTATAATTCTGAGAGTGGAAAAGATCTCAGACTGGTATATTTTAAAAAAAATGTCTTTTAATGTGTAACTACTCATATGAAATCTAAATACATCACGTGAACAAAAAGTACATGTAACTTATAGATGCGATATCATAATTAACGTTTGGTAAATATTCAAATTACGATAAAGCAATACTTAAGGAAAAACAAATGTTATTTTAAATTAAATAACGCATGAATTTGAAAGGTCGTCAAATTCACATGTACAACATTCCCACCGTATACAAGGGGCAACGCGGGGAGTCACTTAAATGTATGGGGGAGTCGTTTTCAGCGTATGGGGGAGTCGATTCTCACCGCTTCGGAGTCAGAAGAGATAATGTATATGCAAGAATTGTTTACAAAAAACAAAGAGCCCACGGAAGGTAGCAATAGTTCAGCTTTCTGTTGGTCATTTGTCCGGTTAGCATATACGTCTAGTTTTCTAAAACACTACAAATCTCTTCGACAGATTTCATATATACGTTGATCGAGTGATTAAAACATCCATAGTTTGCACAATCTACGACTTGTGTAGGGATTTTGACAGTTAAAACAGCAAAAGCAAAAGTTAATCTTTCAAATGCAACAATTCAAACTTGGCTAGAATTTATAATATTTAATAATTAAGACATTTTCTCTTCAGACAGTAATGGTTACGTAAGGGGTAGCCGTTTCAGGAAAAACACAACGCATAGAGGAATCGCAAAATAAAGTCAAATGGATACCTAACCTGGTGTTGTTTTTAGTTCTAGAAGAAAAATCAGCAAAAGACAACTTGATTATATACCATCGTAGCACAGGTGCTTTGGGACAAGATCCTCCCCTAGCTCAGTATGTAATTTTCTTATACATCACACAAATTCAAAAAGATCACGAACCTCACATTCAACAATGACAGCCTCTCAAAAATAAAAGAACTACTAGATTTATGATATGGAAAATTTCTTTATAATAATATCAACCTTTTTTTATTATAAAAGGCAAAATCCCTGGCGTGTTATTCCCGTCTCTTTACTTCTTTTTTTCTTTGGGGGGGGGGGGGGGGGGTAGGAATTTGTTTTACTGGTTTATGCTTTCACTTGTTCCACATATAACATTAACAGCTATGCCCCA